CCTCTGTAGAGATGTAAACAGAGTTGGTAGCTACTGCGACTTGCTGAATGCTTTCATCCAAGTTAAAAACTCTTTCCATGTGACCCCAAACAGGTTTCAGGAAGTAAAACAAACAAACCAGCAGGATCATCTTGCATCAAATAAGGCCACTCAGATTCAGTCAGACTTTCACAGAGTGAAAGGTAGTCTGATCTTGGCAGTAAAACTCTGCAGCTCTGTATAAATGTGCTAGAAATGGGAGGAACAAAGCAAAACCACAAATGAGCAGGCTGATTCACACCAAGTCATCTGAGGCACAGAGACACAGAGACGATTCAACCAGATCATCCAGTCAGATTGATTCAAAGTTTTCTATCTAAGGAAAACCAGCTGATTGCATCGACTCATTGAGTCTTCAGCAATCCCTCACACTAAGCATGATTGTGGTGATTGTGAAGAGACTCAGCCTGCTGCTGCCTTTCCTTCCTCAGCAAAGTCCACACAGAGAAACACTTATCAAAAACTGGAAGAAGACGAGTTAAAATTGCTGGAGTCCATCAGAAAAAGACAAATCCAAACTCATGCCACAGAACCTCCAGAGAATGCAGCATGATATACTCCTCCACACCAGATCTTCAGGTCCTGTGAGCAGTCTCTGAATACACTGAAAACAAAAAGCAGCACCTCTGCTGGCCAGATGGACCTGGCCTTGTCCACCTTCTTTTCTGCAACAATTGAATACTTTCAGGAATCCAGTGAAGTTAATACCAAAAAAATCCACCTGAACCCTTTGAACATTTGAGAGAGAGAAACTGGAGGATTAACCGGTACCACCAGATGGAAGAAATTAGATTATAAATGACCAGAAGTCTTCCTCTATATGACATTTTAGGTAACACTCACTTCCACTTCAACAGCCGACCCTTAACATTATTTAATACATTTTCCCAATTTTTTTAACAAAACTTTCATTAACCAAGAACACCTAAATACACTGCATGGCCAAAATAAAACAGTCGCCACCTGGATTCAACTAAGCAAATAGGTAGGAGCCTCCTATTGGATAATTACTGCATGGGCGATTATCTTTCAGCTGGCAACAAG